TTAATAAAAGTGGCAAAATTAACTTAGATTTCATTCATTTGCCAACAACTACTGCAAATAAGGAGCTAATCCAGAGTTCAGATTTACAGTTTAGTTAATTGTCATACTTTGTCCCTAAGCACCATAGGGGAAAGGTTCTTTGCAGGTACCATGGGCAACATTTTTGCTATCAATGGATTATCTTCAGATTTTACTTGTTCAGTGTTACCGTGTGCTATTTATAACTGCCTCTTCCCAAAACCAACCCTTCTCGATCCCTAGAAATGAAACATGTCTTATTAAATCATTTCTGGACCTCAAAGTGACGAGCACAGACTGTGAATTATGCATACCTGTGATGAATTTCCACCACTGTCCCTGTAGTTGGAGACCTTAGGCAAAGCATTTTTATCCCATAAGCCTTTTCTTGTGTGCAGAATGAGGGTTAGAATAACAGCTACTTCATATAGATAGTATTAAAAATGTATATACTTAGCATGGTGCCTGTAACATAAACATTCATATATTTCTTAGTTGAAAACATTTGGAAATTGAGATCTTCTTCAGTGTGCATTTATTCATCTGTATCTCAGATTTCAAGCTAGAGAAACAAGGCTTGGCTTTTAGTTGGATTTAATCCCCACCCCACCCCCCGCCCCGCTCTGGTAGCGGGAATCAAACTCATGTTCTTACGCTTGCCAGGCAGGCTCTGTGGTGCTGAGCTAAATCCCCAGCCCTTAGTTGGATTTAATTTAAATGCTTATGAATTCAAAGTGAAAATACTTTTGTCAGTAGATGAAGGCAGAGAGCTGAAGATTACATCACATGACTAGACATCATGTAGCATACTGTTAGCTGTTGTTGTGAATTCTTGGCAATGAACTGTAAAAACAAGAAAAACTGTGTACTGGGCTCTACATATTTTATGGGCCAGAATAATGTTGATTTCTACTTTTAATGAAATCTCGCATGCAAAATAAAGACAGTCTTACAGATTATTGTATATCTGGATTATGGCTTTCACTGAATGAAAACTTTGCACTTTTTTGGTTGGGGAATGCTATGATAAGGACTATTTTTACAGACTATGTGGAAAAGGTATCTCTTTCAAGGAAAAGCCTAGGTTACTTAGTAGGAAGAAACATCGAAACACCACAGCAAAATTAAATGGTAAATGAAATTTGTTATCCAAGTCACCAGGTGACTTAATTTGTATTATGAATTCACCTTTGTGAAAGACTTTTCTTATAACATCATCACCAAAGAACTCCTAAGCCTGTGTAATTTCAAGGCATACTTTTCTTGAGTCTGAAATTAAGTTTTAACAAGGCTTTATATCAGTGGTGGTGAGCCTTTTAGAGCGCTCACTGATACAAACAGCCCCTTGTTGCACCTGTGCCGTAGGTTCGCCACCAGTGCTTAAAATTGTGACTAATGTGGCTTATTTTACATTAAATTTGAAAATGAATATAGCCTTGTAAGTGTTTTAATATCTTTAGTTCCTATTGATATATTTTTTGAAAAATAAAATACTCTTGTTAGGAAAGCATAGACCAAAAGAACAGCATATTTAATAACTTTCATTTTTTGGTACAAAAAATATGAACAGCTGAAGCTTTGAGAGCCAATCAAGCATTACTAGCACAATGAAATTTTCTTTCATATATAGGAAAAGGAGCTGACACTAATATAAGGAAGAAATATTATGTATTTTTACTTGAATTATCAGGATAATTAAGTCAATTATTTTACTTTGCTGTAGAAGATGATAGAAAAAATAATCACGAAACTAGTTTAAGGATTTCTTTTCTTTCTTTCTTTCTCTTTCTCTCTCTCTCTCTCTCTCTTTCTTTCTTTCTCTCTTTCTTCTTTTTTGTCTTTCTGAGACAGGGTCCCTGCTATGCAGTTCAGACTGGCCTTGAACTCATTTTGTAGCCCAGGCTGGCCTCGAACTTGCAGTGATCCTCCTGCCTCAGCCTCCTGAGGGCTGGGATTACAGGTGTGCACCACCACCCCCAGCTTTACTTTAAGAATTTCAAACCACTAATGATTAGGTAAGATTTAGAAAAGACATATTGCTCATTTAGCTGACATAGAAGCATCATTTAGCATGTTATGATGTTGGTCCATGAGAGTGGCCATGTGTATTGAGGACAAGATTTGGACGTAATGTAGTTATGAGTCAATCGAAATTTTCCCTGCTAACTTTAGAGAAATATATTAGCAAGGTATTTTTCTTGATCAAATTAGTGGGAACCAGATTTGTTCTCAGAAATAAATGGAAAATAACAAATGCATCCAGTGGGACCTTCATTCTCTTCAGCCTGTCGTAAACCTGTTATGGGGCAGCCAAGCAGAATAGGGAACCGAAAATGGAGGGAAAACAGGAGGTTGAAGCAGAGACCCGGAACTCCTCATCTGATATTCAGGACCCCTGTCAGTACAGCGAGCATGAGCTTGGCACTGTCTCTGTAAAGCATTTATAAACTTAAAACATCAAAGGAATATGGTGGGCCAGTATCAGCTATACCTCAGGGAGCACTAGTTCTGATACTTCTAGAGGGTTTCTTGCTTTCTTGAGCATAACATTCTGCAGACAGTAGATACCAGCCTGATACTTATTTCCTTGGAGATGCTCCACAGGTCAGAACCACAAGGGTTTTGATTCCAGATGCAGCACAGATAAAGTACTAAATACTGAAGTGTCCCTTTCAAATAAAGAAGATTTTCAATGGAACGGTGAAAACTAAACTAATGACTGTAAATTATAGTGATTTAGAAATAGCTCTATTTGAAGTCTTGTTTTGAGGACTTACTCTATGTTCAGGCTAATCGGAAACACGAATGTTTTATACTCTTAATGGTTATAGAAATAAAGATGCATAATCTGGAAAAATATTTTTTAAAACTTTATGCCATTGTCATACTCATACATTTCTTTTGATACCACACAGCTTGCTAGCTGATAATATGCCTTTTCTTGGAGGAGGGAGGTAGGCTTATATAGAAGTGGGCAAAAAGGTCAGGTAATTTTATTCTAAAATTGAAAGTTTTTTTCTAAAATAGGTTTAACACATGAAAATATTATATTATTGTTACTATAAAGGTATGATTTACAGCTTCAATTGTTAGAGTATTAGTTATATCTTTAAAAGCATAATTCTAGGAAAATCTTAAATGTCATCCAATCATTCTTTTATGATAACTGTAATAAAAAAAACCTACTGCTTCTTTAATAGGTGCATCTACACATCTTGCTACAAATTTCCAATTATGATTTCCCCAGTAGCAAACAAAAACAAAATTAATGGCAGCTACATCCCCCAAAGCCTAAGCTATATTACTAATGAACTCTCAAAGAAAACTCTTGATGCAAAAAATAATAAGGTGGAAATTACTGTAATAATCCAAATGTAGAAATAAAGGAAAGAATTACTAAAATACAGAGAACAGTTTTCCTGCCATGATCCCATTAACTGCTAAAATAGCCTGTGCACAGTGGTGTTTTGACATTATTAAGATCCTTGAGCTGTACAAAATCCGTGTTTTTAAAAACTGTGTTCTTCAATTAAAGCTGGCTTATATTGGAGAGAAAGTGCTCTATACCTCCTAACCATACCATGGCCTGGCTTAGATTTTAACAAGCTGCTTTGTTGGAATGAAAGTGCTTGGTTGCATTAAAATGGGAAAATGTGTCATATATGAGGTGATCTTACTATGGACTAAATCACAGAACACATGTTTTGCATTATTGAAATGAGGTCTGTGATCATTTGTCTTCACTGAAAAAAGCTCGATAGCTCTACCAAATACTGACTAAAATTTTAATTCTTGGGGCCATGCCAATAGGCAGATTTACCTAGATGGGCTGGAATAGGAAATAATGATTTAGTAGGAAGTAGTGTTAATTGCTATTGGAAAAATGCCTATATTTACATTTTTAAGAGCCTAGAAGGTTTGAATATAAGAGGCAGAATAGCTTCAACATAGTTATTGCTAATCTTTAACACATCACATAATGTCTAAACACAGAGACTTTGGGATCTGAGAAACATGAATTCATTTGCGGATCCTTTGTGCTCTGGGTAATCTACTTAGTATCTAATGGCCTCCATTTCATCTGTGAAATGGACATTATAAATAAGCACCTAGTAAAGTTACCACTGACAGTTTATTGATAAAATATATGTAAAATTTCTCAATGCCTGAATATAACAGACATTTAGTAAATGCCCCCCATATGTGCATATTTTATTTGCTTCATAGTTTGAGTGCTGAGACAAAAAAAAGCAGCCAATGATCCAAATAAGGCAATGCATATTCTTGAAATATAATTCATACATCTTATATTATATTTAGTATATCATATATATGATATATTTAGTATATCATACATGCTGCCATCAGATCAGGCTACGGATCACACAGAGGGCTGTAATTGGCATATAATATATGGCAAAGGGCCATTAATACTGACTAAAGATGGTAGCAATTAATACTTATTGAAGACTTTTGTGCCAGCACTATGCTAAGTGCTTTACATGTGTTTTTATTTCATCTTTAGGACAATTTTGTGACTTAGGTATTATCATCATCATCATCATCAAAGATTAACTGCTTGCCCAGGTATAGTCTGACACTAATTTTGTCTGCCAACTCTTAATGCAAGGTTCTCTCCATTGGTTCTCTCCATTTGGCTGATTGGCATCAGTAAGGAAACAAGAAACACAGTCATTTGCCTTTCTTAGCTTAGAGACACACAGAAGTGTGTCAAAGGTTAAGGGTAGGAGCTCTACACCTGTACTGTTCCATGTAGTAGATACAAGTCATACTAACTGGGCTAAGAACCAGCTGTACCATCTATTAGATATCCTAATGAAAATTATTTCCCTCTTTGTGCTTTTCATATAAAAATAAAACAGCATCCCATAGGGCCACTGTAAGAATAAGCAAATTGATGCATGTAAAAGGCTCAGAGCACTTCCTGCCCATAATGAGCTCTCTCTCTATATGCTTACAAGGAGAAAATCAGCAGGACTTAAGTGGTGCACCTGATTGTAGAGTTCTGGAAGGAGGAGGCATCACAGTAAGTCCAAGGTAAGAGCTTAAATGACTAGAAAGATTACTCACAATACCACAAAGAAATGTGGAAAATGGTGCAGTTGGAGTTAATTCATTGTAGCATTATTCTTACAAATGAGGATAAACACCTCAAACCTCCCATTAGTAGGAGGCTGATCACAATCATCTAGCGGATCCTTAGGGCAGCTGCTAAATGAGGAGGGAGGCTTTGTGCACTAATATGCAGTTGTCTATGTTGTGTACTTTCTAAGTAGAAAGCCAGGTGTAGAACAGGATGTATAGTGTGTTACCATTTGCTAAAAGGAAAGTAAAAGGCAGGAAATGTATACAGACACACGTGCTTGACTGAGTATGGAAGATCTATAGGAAGAGTAGCAAGAAACTTCCTCGCTCTGAGAGAACTGCGTGACTGAAATACAAGGATGGGAGATTGAATTTTTACTATATTTCCATCTTTGCCTTTTGAGTGTTGAAGCCCATAAATCTCATATAATTATATAAAATGAAAGTTTTAAAATTAGCCCCTACCTGGGAGTTATGAAGAGTCAGCTGCTCCAGGGAGGACGAATTAAGGGCGGAGAACCTGGCAGTGCTCCAGGAACTGTGTGATTTTATTAGGTTCAGGTGAACATTTCCACGGGCACCCGGCTCTCTTCTCTCCTACTTCCAGACTGGTAAACCACCTCAGAAACAAAAGAGCATTCTGTTTGAAAACTGCATTTGCATTATAGAAATAAGTATGGAAATACTTGATGGGCTGAAGCCTATGACCGAGGGATAAACTAGGGGAATCAGAAATGGTGACAAGAGCTGGTCAGGAAGGTTTTAGATATGAAAGTAGCATTGGCACAGACCTGGAAAGATAAACCATTCTGGTTTTTTTGTTTTGTTTTGTTTTGTTTTTTTTGAGACAGGGTCTCACTATGCAGTTCAAGCTGGTCTTCAACTCACTCTGTAGCCTAGGATGGCTTCAAACTCACAGTGAACTTCCTGCCTCAGCCTCACAAGTGCTAGAATGGAAAGATAAATTAAACAGGGAATGAGCATCCACAGGGTGAGGCAAGAGGGAAAGACGATAGTGCAGAAGTGATGGTATATTTAAAGAGCAGCAGCTCATCTCCTGCGGCCGGGAAGCTGTGTGTTTAAGTCTGGCTCTGAGGAAATGCCAGGACCATGTAAGGAACCACATTGAAACACACTGTGGCGGCTTCTGTGTCCCTTTGATTGTAGATGAAAGCTTTCATATGTAAATGGATTGTTTAACAAAGGAGTTTACAATAAACAAGAAGAGTCACCTCTTGAGAAATAGCCCAAAGGTGGGACATGTAGGGCATGTTCTTGAAGCGATGAAAATTTGAGAAAGGATATCAGAGACAGACAGTTTAACAGCCTAAGGATACTCGAGAGTTAATTGGAACCAGACGGAAGTTACGGACTCAGGAGAGGTGTTTGGTAAAGGAAGTAGGAAGCTTAGCTGTTGGCCTTTGCTACTTCATTTTTAACCCCTCAGCAACTAGTTCCGCACGCGGCCAAAGCGGCTAATTAAACTCCGACCGCACTGGTTGCCTCTGTGGTCTGTAGCAGACACTCTGGTCTCTGGCCGGGTAGTTGGCTGCTTCCATGTACCTTGTTCTGTGACAGTTCAGGGACTGCATGCAGAATTGGCTCCAAAACCCAGGTCTCCATGTCCTGAGCGATGATGAGTTAACCAATAGAGAGTTCAGGGCCCCTAGCCAGGCATTGCCACCATGCTGCCATCAGATCAGGCTACACGGATCACACGCTGTAGGGCCTTGGAGGGCCGAAGGAAGCCTTTTGGCCTACTTGTCACTTGAGTGCTGAGGCCTTGCTCTGTTCACTGTTTGGTATGATGGTGCCAGTATTTTTCTGGCTTCTCTCGGGCCGCATTTGCCTCTGTCATACAGCTCTTTCTTGAGTACCTAGTCTAGGCAATCATTATCTAGGCAGCTTCATTTAGAATGCAAATAACCTCACCTGTAGAGTGGTTTTTATAGCACAAATGGACTGATCACCTCCTTGGGCTAGAAAACTTGATTCAAGCAACATGATTATTTATTTCTCATGTTTGCAAGAGTGCCTCCCCCAATCTTGGGTAGAAAAGAGCATTTTGGAGTCTATCTATCTATGTGTCTATCTGTCTATCTATCTATCTGGTAGAAATATATATTTCTTTCCAACTTGTTTAGGGCTCCCCTTCTACATGCCAAGAGTTATAAGTGCTAGAAGTTAAATACTAAGATAAATAGGTCCTTTCTAGTGGGTGGGATGAAGGGGCAGAACAGATGCAGACAGAGAGAAACAGTGAAAAATTTAGTAAGTCATGTAATAGAACTCTACTTGAATTATTCTGGAAGCCCTAAAGAGGTTACTTCATTGGAACAGGGAAGCAGGGAGCTAGGGGAAATAGTGCCAACAAACTGTCGGGGGAGTCGACCAGGTAGAGGGGCAGAAAGACTGTTTTTGGCAGAAGAGTGAGGCACCGTGAGAGCAAAAGCACTGAGCTGAAAAGCAATTGATTGCTGTGTTTGTGGAGCTCGAATTTCTCTGGTACAGCACAAGTGTGAGGCCAGCGGGAGGAAGAGGAGGGCTGGAGAGATAGTTCTCAGGAAGATTTTTACAGGACTTCATCCTTGCATGTAGAGGAGGGAAGTGGAGAGTTTTAAGTTCTGAGAAAATGGAATGTGGAGAGGATCAGGGGCAAGAGAGTGAGCGTGAGAGTCTGAAAGCAGCTCAACTGGGCTGAAGCGCATAGCTTAGAGAGCAGGAGCTGAAAGGGAAACTGCAAGAGTTTGTGTTTCATCTAAGGACAGAGAGGTTAAAACGGGAGAGTCGCATAAGGACCCATATGCCTGTGAAGGTGTGCCAGCAGCTCTGGACAATGATTAAAGGGACAAGGACTAGAGAAAGGCAGGAAGGCTTGTCAGAAAGCAGGTGACCTAATTTTGATGAGCAATGACGGTGGCTTGCACTTCAGGGTGGCAAAATGTCAGGAGATGGTCCACAGTTAGTGACTGCTCCCTATTCCAAATTGTTACTTTTAAAAACACTGTGACACTTAGTAATTAATTTAAAAATCTTTTGTTTGACTCTGTGTCTTGTCTCCACCCACACAAGTCTTCCACATTCTTGGCATAGACATCCTTTCCTTGGGGAAGCCTCCTTCACCTGCACTGGGTCTTCCAAGGTATCTTGTGGTCCCCAGTGCAGCTTGGACCACACCACACCTGGGGCAGCTGTGTGTCTCCTCTGCTAGACTTTATACTTCCCAGGGACGGGGATTCCTTCTTGATGCTGTCAGGACACTGTCTGGTACATTGGAGGTGCTCCATAATTTGCTGAATAGATAATTTATTAATAAATGAATTATTTAGATAGCTCAGGAAAGAAAACCCAGAACTTTCCAATTTGTTTTAAGATATTGCCGGTCTGCCTGACTCCCTGCAAAATAGTATATTATGTTTAAGGGCAACAAATGACAACAAAATATTGGCTTTTTAAATGACTCTAATTAGTACATATCTAGGGGCTGGTGATTTAGCTCAGCAGCACAGTGCCTGCCTGGCAAGTGAGACATTGTGAGTTCAATTTCCAGTACCGGAAAAAAAAACAACAAAAAAATTAGTACATATCTATCACTTATACTTGTAATTTTTTTTTTATAAACTAAAGAGATGAAAACAGCTCAGCTAGGCTGAAATAACTTTTATAAACTAAAGAGTCTGTCTCATTTGCAGTAGCAAATGCCTATAATCCAGCTACTTAGGAGGCTGAGGCAAGAGAATCACAAGTTTGAGGGTAGCTCGGCAACTTAGGAAGGCCTGTCTCCAAAAAAAAAAAAAAGAAGAGATGAACAGCTACATTTTCAATAAACATTTAGAAATGGGAGCTCAGTTCTCTGGCTGTTGATTTTGAAACAATACCAAATTGCTTAGCCTAGAATTAGAAAGCCCTTAAAATCCGGCCCCCTCCTCAGAGTGATCCTTCTTTCCATTGCCATCTGCTTGGAAAGTTAGGCATCATCAGGCCTGTCTCCTGTCCTCTGATCCACTTTTGTCACTGGTGTGCTTGTGCTATAAGCAGTAATGTCGGAGAGCATCCTCCGTTGTTACTCTCCCTGGTGTTGAAGATTTAGTCTTCCACAGCTTGGTCCCTGGGTAAGGAAACTCACCTGGTGGAGCCGATCGTCCCAGCCTGGCCTTGAGCTATGTCTGCTTCTCAGCATCCTCCCTCTTTACAGTTAGCACACAAACTCCACAGCTCGACCCTGATTCTACACTGCCCCGTTCTTTGGTTGTCTCATAGGTTTACTCTTACCTGTCTGATGAGGTAGGCTTCCAGAACAGAGATAGTGGGATAGTGGTTGCCCTGCCCAGCCCCATCAATTCACGGTGGTGTTTGTGATGGCAGAAGCCAAGTGGTAAATACTCTGTGAAGTGCACGTTTCTTGGCCTGTTTAACCCTGGAGGTCCATTCAGGTCTCTAGCGTGACTCCAATCTAAAGAGTTTAAGGAATGAAAGTTACGTTTCTGGAGGGTGTCCTTCCATGCCCTATCTCTGGGAGGGTTCTCTTCTAATTCAGTGACTGACTCATTGTGTTGACTGAATCTACAAGGACTGGACCTGTGTTGAAAGACAGGAATGGCATGCCACGAGGGTGCATCTTTGTGGTGTTGCAGTGTTTGTTTTCATGATCCTCCTGGTTTTCTCACCATTCAGCTTATCTGTTTTCCCTCCTGTCAGGACTCCCTCCTGCCGTCTCTTTCTCAGTCATTTTGAAGCTGGCCTAATTGAACACTGAGGTTATGAAGTCCATCCTAGATGGCCTTGCAGACACGACCTTCCGTACCATCACCACAGACCTCCTCTACGTGGGCTCAAATGACATCCAGTACGAAGACATCAAAGGCGACATGGCATCCAAATTAGGCTACTTCCCACAAAAATTTCCTTTAACTTCCTATCGGGGCAGTCCCTTCCAAGAAAAGATGACTGCAGGAGACAATGCCCAGCTGGTCCCAGCAGACCCAGGGAACCTTACAGAGTTCTACAACAAGTCTCTGTCATCCTACAAGGAGAACGACGAGAACATCCAATGTGGGGAGAACTTCATGGATATGGAGTGCTTCATGATCCTGAACCCCAGCCAGCAGCTGGCCATCGCCGTGCTTTCGCTCACACTGGGCACTTTCACAGTTCTGGAGAACCTGCTGGTCCTCTGCGTCATCCTCCACTCCCGCAGCCTCCGATGCAGGCCTTCCTACCACTTCATCGGCAGCCTGGCAGTGGCAGATCTCTTAGGGAGCGTAATTTTCGTCTACAGTTTCGTTGACTTTCACGTATTCCACCGCAAAGATAGCCCTAATGTGTTTCTGTTCAAACTGGGTGGGGTCACAGCCTCCTTCACCGCCTCTGTGGGTAGCCTGTTCCTCACGGCCATCGATAGGTACATATCTATTCACAGGCCCCTGGCCTACAAGAGGATCGTCACGAGGCCTAAGGCTGTGGTGGCCTTTTGCTTGATGTGGACCATAGCTATTGTAATTGCCGTGCTGCCTCTCCTGGGCTGGAACTGCAAGAAACTACAATCCGTTTGCTCAGATATTTTCCCACTCATTGACGAAACCTACCTGATGTTCTGGATCGGGGTCACCAGTGTCCTGCTGCTGTTCATCGTGTATGCGTACATGTACATTCTCTGGAAGGCTCACAGCCATGCAGTCCGCATGATTCAGCGTGGAACCCAGAAGAGCATCATTATCCACACATCGGAGGACGGCAAGGTACAGGTAACCCGGCCGGACCAAGCCCGAATGGACATTAGGCTGGCCAAGACCCTAGTCCTGATCCTGGTGGTTTTGATCATCTGCTGGGGCCCTCTCCTTGCAATCATGGTATACGATGTCTTTGGGAAGATGAACAAGCTCATTAAGACAGTGTTTGCCTTCTGCAGTATGCTCTGCCTGCTGAACTCCACCGTGAACCCTATCATCTACGCTCTGAGGAGCAAGGACCTGAGGCACGCTTTCCGGAGCATGTTTCCCTCGTGTGAAGGCACTGCGCAGCCCCTGGATAACAGCATGGGGGACTCGGACTGCCTGCACAAGCACGCAAACAACACAGCCAGTGTGCACAGGGCCGCGGAGAGCTGCATCAAGAGCACAGTCAAGATCGCCAAGGTGACCATGTCTGTGTCCACAGACACGTCTGCCGAGGCTCTGTGAGCCTGATGCCTCCCTGGCAGTTCAGGAAAAGAAATTCATTTTTTTTTTTGTAAAGCTCAAAATCAAGAGGAGTCTGTCGTCTCATCGGTTATATTTTTTTAAGTTTACCATGCTCAGTGGAAAGATGACTGTCACCGTGCTCATTTATCAGTTTGCTGACATTTCAATAGTTTAGGTACTCAAACTCCATTCTCCAGGGGTTTACATTGAAGAAAGCTTGCTGCTTAAGTGACTGAACAGTTCTTCAGACTCTAACTGAAATAGAAGGGAAACCTTTGGCAACACAATTTGAAGTCCAAGTACCCATAGAAAAATGCCATCAAATGAGTAATACCTTTGTAATCACAACTTCCATTTGTATGTGACGTGTCTGTCCCTAGTATCAGAGATGTCCATTTTTACAACAGTCATAGTGCTATACTAGAGAAATTTTGTAAAATATAGTGTGTCTTGTGAGTTGTGTATCAGTGTTTACTATATGTTATTTATATTTGTCTAGTTTAGCAAAACCGAAAGGTAGACTTTTATGGGAACAATGAAAAAAACACAGCAGTGGATAATTGCCAATGAGGCCACTTTTTAAAAATTACTGTCCATGATGTTCTAGAAACCTTACTATTTCTTCAAATATCTCCATCTTAATTTGACACTGAGATAACCATAAAGTTTATTTTTCTGATAAAAGAGCAAGAAGAATTTGAAGATTATCCAAAGTATTTAGCAGAACTTATTGACACTTAAACATTTATTAAACCCTGTATTTTCAAAGGAGGACGTTTATCATCTCCTGCACCATAGCTGTTCTATTGGGTAATGGAACTCAATAGCTGTTTCAGAATGGAAATGAGAAGGCGTATTGACTTTTTTAGGCTGACATCTCTGACTTTCTTTAGTTGTTAGCTATTACTGGACCTCTTAAAATAGCATGTGTCAATCTGAATGTATATTGTTGTCACCGTGTAGGTGCTGGTTTACTTGAAGAGTATTGCATTCTTATATTCCAGGTTTAAGTAGATTTCATGCCTGGTGGCCAAACAATAGTTCTCATTTTTTTGTTAATTGAAAAAAGTATTGTCCGGATAAGTAAAATTATATTGTGTGAGTGTGAATATAAATGTGTATATGTGTATGTTTTCTATCTTGTAACTGTTACCACAGTGTCATAAAAGTGAGAAAACTGTGACCAAGTGTAAACTGTACCACTTGCTGCACACTTGCACATGAATGCAGTTTCTAAAATTGAGTTCTTCCAGTTGAAAAAAATTCTGATTATAAAGCATTCAGAAAAATTTGGCCCCTTTAAGAGATTGGGCCAAGTATTAGTAGATTAGCTGTTGGATATAACATAAGACCAGTGTTTAGTAAGGAATAGTCAATGACAGATATTCAAGTCAACATTTGTATTTACAGTGTCGTGGGAAAATGAGAGTGTGTTGGTTTCTGAGCACCTAGTATCCATAAAGTTTCTAAAACCCCCAAACAGTAGCATTTTTCAATTGTATGTGTAGATAGCATGAGCCTAGTTTTAGTAGCATTATACACAACATACTGAAGCAGGACTACCATGTCTGGGTCATGTGGCTAAGGAGGCTGAATCAGGAAGTGAGTGAGACAGGCAATGAAGAGCTAGCAACCTTGAGACTGAGGTGTGGGTGACGTATGCTCAACCTATGCTTTGTTCAGATGCCCTTCATAAAGATGAAGATGGCTTTCCTTCTTTGGATATCCTAATCTCATGTTTCTTAATGGTGCCATAAGTGCTCAGAATTAGGCCCTTTTCTAGGAGGGAAAGATAGGGTTTAAGAAGCCACTGGACCCTGTCAAATTTACATACAGTCTTTCCTCCTTATGCAGATAAAGAATGGCTCCTGCAGGATACTGGGGGAAGGGCAGAGCTAGCATCTATCTTGTCATTTGCTCTAGTGAAACCCAGACAACCTGATGGAGCAATTTATGGTCTAAGATGGCACGTGACCTGTAGACAGTGCTGGGAGACAGCCAGGATCTGCCTGGGCTTTTCTCACTTTGCCTTTCTGTGATATGCAAATAAGAGCTCAGAGTGCTGGAGGGTGAAAAAAATCTTTAGAAGAAGATAAGATTATTGACAAACAAAAATTACCAGGTTTTAGTTTCTATTTAAGAATTGCCAATCTCTGTCCTGCCTCATCCTGAATATTAATCTATGTATCTTAGAGTTCACCAGGCAGTACCAAATCTCTTCACATAACTATCAAGACCTGGTGGAGATGAAATTCTTATAGGCATAAAAAAATTTCCAGGATTCCTTTTTGAAACTGTATTTGTGTGAATGCCATGTAGATTTAATAATGTATTATGCTTTTAAGGCCTAAATCATATATAAAAATTAAGGGACAATGGGGCTGATAGCACTAAACTTGGTGCTTACTGATATTCTAAGAAATATCTGTGAAATATCATATGTGTGTTCTACCACTTCCATTTAAAAACATTTAAAATTAGTTGGATTCATTTTGACACTTCCCATATCATTTCCTAATCCAAGTGACTAAAATGTTCTCCCCAATGAATACACTCATTAGAATTACCATTCATTAGCATCATTCATTAACTAGTTCTTTAATTAGATCCATTAATTTAAATATGATTTAAATTTAAGTATTTATAGGCTCTGGCAACAGAGTTATCCACTTTTCCTCTGAGGATGACATTTGTCCTGAGTGTGCATTCTGCCATCATTCGTCTTCAGAAAGGGCCAGATTCCTAACCCACTCAGCTTCAGAATTGTAATGACTTGACTAACAGTCTGATTTAGACAAGCGAGGCTGCCTCCAAGAATCACTTATTTTTCACTATATACTGAATATATATAAGAGAAATATGGATCTGGGAGATGCTGCAGACACATGCCTGCAACTGAGATGATTCCCAAGCCTTCCTGGTAGTTTGAATCAGGTCTGTCTGTTATTAAATGTCAAGGAATTTTGGCTGCCTAAATGCATACTGCAGGAAACAGGCCCAACCACCAAATGAAAACCAGGCCCTGGATGAGTAGCACTCTAATTACTGTCCTGTTCAATATTTTCTGCCATTCCATATCCAGAAAAGAGACTACCAGTATCATGCACAAAATTAGATTTCTCACACTCTTTAACTGTATATTTGTATGATATTTTAAAATCTCCTACATGCTGGGCAATGGCTATTCACAATTGTCTTGCACTGGCCTGATGAAATGTTGGCAATGCCTATTGTAATATAGACAAAACATTCTACTGATTTGGGCTGAATGTATGTAAATAGGTTTTTTAAAAGCTAGATGCTTAAGCAATGGATTACCAATCAGTGATTTTCAGACAGGAGAGTTCTTTACATTGCTGTGACATCCTAAAAAGCTCTCTTCATGTAAACTTACTGGACTAGGCCTCCTGGGGATCAGAATCCCCAAGAAAGGAAACTTTTTTCTTGTAATAATATGAATTAATATACCAGATCACCTAGATTTTTATTTCCAGTGTTTCAAGTGGAAGACATAACTCTTTATTGTCTGTAAATCTAACATGATTACTTTTCCTCTTAGAAGAATATTGTATTGTTAGATGTTCGTTGAGCTGGTAACATCCTTGCAACGGCTACAATATCTTCGTTAGTAATCTGTATAATACTTTGTATACAAGTACTGGTAAGATTGTTATTAAATGTAGCTTCAGTCATTAAATTACTAGAGTAAAGTAGTACCTCTGTAATATTTATAATGTATTAAGCCCACAGTATATTTTATTTTGTGTGTGTAATGTAAGTGTTATTTATTCAAGAGAAAACATTTCATCATGTCTATTGTCCAAAGTTACCTGGAATCAAATAAAAATTCTAGATTACCATGAAGAACAGAAAATGCCTTTGAATTCTGTCTTATTTCACAGTCTGATGATTGGGTCTTATATTCTAAAACATTGCTGAACAATGAATTTGTTCCTTAAAAGAGCTTTTATGACTTTATTTGAAGAGTAAAGACATGTTGGATTAATGTATTTATTTTCAACATAGGAAGAACAATGCAGAAAGCCAGCATTTATACAATAAAGCAGAAATGGCTGCCATCCTTTTTTCAAGTACTGTTATTTTAATAAATGTTTAATGATATTGCAATACATTCAAACAAAATTAGTCAGAATTGTACGTTAAATTGAGATTTACAGACTTAAGAAAATATCCAATCTAAATCTAAGGAGTTTACAGACAGATATTCTGAACTACATAAGAGACAAATATTTTAAAATATTTGGTAACATAGTTTGTAAAAGCTCACATAAGTTCTATTTGAAAATAAGAATAAGTCAGATATGACTGCACGTGCCTGCAATCCCAGTGCTTAGGAAACTGAGGCAGGAGGATTGCTGCAAGTTTGCAGCGAACCCAGACTACATAGTAAATTCAAGGACAGCCTAAACTATGCAATGAGACTATCTCAAAAAACCTCCCAAAATAATAATAAATTTTAAAACATTATAATGACCTTTAAATATTTCTGTCTGAAATAAAATGTTTTCAATCAATTTTGAAAAGATTTTAAATTTTTCAAATAATGAATTTGTGGATTATTTTTGCTTTTTAATAACTAATCAAGATTGCTTTTTCTACCTATTTTAAATACAGTAGCTAGCTGTATAAGCAGAATACTTCTAACAAAAAGCAAATGACATTCATTCTTAACTCTTAAATTTTATGCTAGGGCTTCCTTAGGAGAAAGATACTTATTTCAACATTTTCATATTGTATCTTAAAACTCCCAAACTGATCCTTTAGTCAATATATGTTGCCATCTATATTGAAAAATATATTTAAAATAAAATAGAAATAGAACATTGATGATGTGTTTTTCCTGAATTGGAAGTGATAGATTTGAAATTTGTAGCTCTATATTAACTTATAGAAAATGAACAACAGACATCATTGTTTCCCCTTAATTCCCTGTCCTGGAACACTGAGGGATGCTTGCAGTGTGTATGTCTGGTTAGCTTGGGAAGTGAGGAAACCTGGGATGGGGGAGCCTCACCACATTTTAGACATACAGGTCATTGGGCTTCTATTATAACCTCATTAGCAGTTTCTGGGTATGTCAGCTTTCCACTACCATGACAAAATACCTGAGATATTCACCTTAAAAGAAGAAAAAGCTCATTTTGGCTTACCATTTCAGAGGTTTCATCCTTGCTGATTTGGGCCTATGGTCGCACAGTACTTCATAGCAGGCAGCCTGTTCACCATGGCATCTAGAAAGCAAAAAGACCGGAAGGGGTCGGGTTACAGTATCCCTTCAGGAGCATGCCCCAGTGGTCTAACTCCATCCACCAGACTCTGTCTCCAGAAGGTTCCACCCACCTCCCCATAGAGCCATAGGCTGAGAACACCCGTTCAACACATGGGCCTTTGGGGGATATTAAAGATTGAACTATGACACTGTGAAGTTAAGTAATGAGTATGTGGGACTTCAGGATACCTAGCTCCCAAAGCACGGATAGGAAGAAACTGGCAAATGAGAAGACAAGATACTACAGTTTGATTTATTTTATGTCCAGACCTGGGTACTACAAACACATCCCAGACATACAGTAGCTGTTTTCCCAACCTTTTGGCCACCCTTCCTACAGGAACAATTTCATTTCAATTTACTTAATATTTTTTAAAGAGCTTGCCTTTTATTTTTTAACTTGTAGATAACATAAGGCATCCAGGAAATAATACTCAACTAGTCAATGAAATGTAACTTGTTAAAATTTTAAAATACAGTTTAGGAATTGAGAACCTACCTTGTACTTGACACTGATAATGGTGGTTAGCATCTATCTTTTTTTTTTTTTTTTTTTTGTACCAGGAATCAAACGCATGACTTCGTGCTTGCCAGGGAGGCAAGCTGCTGAGCTGTATCCCTGGCCCAGCATTTATTTTATTTATTATGAGGTAGATCATCTCATTTAATCCTTTCAACCACCATGTGAAGTATAATTACCTCCATTTGACAGTGACTTGCCCAAGGTCACATAACTAGTCAAAGTTATAGATTGGCTTTGCTCTAAACTACCAGATTATTGAGTTGAGATCTATAAGCTAATTTCCACTTAGTGAACTGTACTGTGCATTTATCCTGTTTAATTCAAGCAACATTTATTGAGTCTATATCATGGTAAGTCATCAGATTATGTAAGATATAATAAAAGAATACCAGCACTTTAAACCTTATCTCAGTGCAATACAGTCTGAATCAGAGAGGGATGTGAGAAACCAGGAAGGCAATAACATTAGGTGTGCAAAGAAAAGGTGGTACCTACACAGAATACTGAGGACAAAGTAGGAACTAGCTTGGAAAAGAGAAGGGAAAAATGAGAATGAAAGAAGTGATAGGGAGAGAAATGATGGTTCAGTTGGGACAACAAGTGTGAGATGTATGAGAGTATGACGTGCCTGGTGAATGTCACATAGACTCAGGTGGCTCAGACATGCAACTGAAGAACAAGGATGAAGGCCACAGGCCAGATGACCAAGGGTCATAGATGCTAAGGGTATTTATTGCTCTTTGTACACCTACACTGTAACTTACAGAGGTCTGAGCAGACTCGTAGTGTTAGCCAGAAAGGTCAAAGTTTATGCAGCCTTTTTCCCATTTCTACTAATTCAAAGACATTCTTACAAAGCATTACATACATACGTAATGCTATCATTTGCTGCTTGGTTCAGTAAAACACTCAGAGACTGGGGTGGAAGCTCCATATATTTTCCCCATGAGCTGGCCACATATTTTCCCTCTTGATGACATTACTACCACTGCAAGAAAGGACATTATTCACTTGGAACAGAGGGACATCAATTAGCTCCCCAAACAGAGCAGTCATCAGTCACAAAGTGTTCTTGCTCATTATTCACCTGGGCTGGGGCAAACCCTCTGATCTCAGGATGACAGGGACCTTATTGAACACCAGCCCTTGGGGCCTCTAACCCTCTGCCCTCCTGACCCCTTTGTAAATAAGATTATTGCTGCTGCTATTGCCTGGTTTTCCTGAAGGGATACAGAAATCCTTCAGGGAATAAATAGATAAGGACTAAGGGAGAGAATCTTTTAAGACTGTCCAAAGTAACCCAACTCTACACCTGAACTGAGTATAATTATTTTATTCATATTGATTAACAGACTGCCTTTCAGTTGAAAGAACGAGTTTAAAAGGAAAGGAAAAACAGAAGACAACTTTGAATTATGTTATAAGGAAGGGAATAAAACTTTAAAGTATCCTCATAGTACCTGTTTTCCAAGTTAACTGCTCATGTCATAATTTTTGCAAAGATTTCGCTGTACATATATTCACAAAATTTATTTATGTAAAGCTTGCACCCTTTTAAGAGAGAGGAAGCTTTGCTTTATGTTTTGGTAAATTTTATTACTTGCATTTCTGAATCTAACAACAATTTTTGTGCTTCAATCATGATCTCTCATTTTTCTAGAAAGTGATGCAAACCCCTTAGCCATTCATCTCAGCGTCTGATTGCTTGTCCTGCTAAATCTTAATCTTCTAAGATGGGTGGTTATGAGCAACTGTCTTATCTGGTCATCCAATGTGAGTATTTTTATGTGTTAAAGCTGTCCCATTGACTGGGAGAATTCAAGATACAAAAACTTCAAAAACAACCCTCATTTAATAACTGAAGAACAACTCCTATGTTTCATCATGATTTGCCTAAATTAGATCAATCCAAATATCCCTAGCAGGGGAGCTGGGGAGATAGCTCAGTGGCACAAGCCCCTGCCTGGCAAGCACAAGGTCCTGAGTTTGAATCCTGGTACAAAAAAAAAAATCAAATATCCCTAGGAGGACGGGGGATGTAGCTCAGTGGCACAGTGCCTGCCGGCAAGCTCAAGGTCCTGAGTTCGATTCCTGGTACCAAAATAAACAAACAAACAACAACAATGAAAAATATCCCTAGGAATAGGTCACACTTACTATAAAACACCATTATTTTCCAGGAATAGCCTCACAAGAGAGAAAAGTGTGATTGAACATTTGGCTATTGCAGCAAATATGGTTCAGCAAAGATCTTAGCATACATTGCCCTCCCAGACAGCCCTCCAAGTAGATAGGGTGCATGTGAATTAACGCTCCCCAGAATCCTGGCGCTGACAGCCATTACAATATTCTAGCGGAAGATGAAAAACAGAGTTCATACATAAAGGGAGGACTGTGGGGTATATTCTCCAACAATCTCAATCACTCCAAAAGCATAAGAGCTCTTTGTTCTAATCACTTTATGTCCAAGCAGAGGGAAATAGGAAAAGAAATATTGATTCTTAAAAACTGATTATGAAACTAAGTTCTTTAACAAGGTGGCCTCAGGAGATGCCTGAAGTAGAACAGGAAGCTTCTTGAAGTTTTGTGTGCATATTAGCACACTACCCTTGGTGCGTCAGAGCTAGAAACACTGCTAGCATGTGGTGTCCACCAAGAGAATCTACTTCCGTGATTTTACTTCTCATGTCTCCCCTGCCTTGTGTAGGTGCCTAATAACACAAGCACATACTAGCATTTTTAAGGTTGAAGGATGCTCTAAAGATAGTCTGCTTCTAGGGATGATTAGGCATGTGTGAAGGAGGCAGTTATTAACTAAAATGTGACTTTTTGTCTTAGACAAAAAGATAGGAATCAATACCACAGCCAGTGAGGAGTTGTGAACCGTGGAACTTGGCAACAAAACTCAATGCTATTGTTCTTGTGACCATCGTCTCTGACAGTAAATAGTACAAACCAATCTAAAAAGCAAGCTCTTTACTTTGTGTCTAGGGCAGGAATATTTGGAATGTACCTAATGGATGTTGGGCAGTTGGCCAAGAGAGATTCAAACAGTAGGCAA